AAGCGCTATGGAGTCATATTTACGTGTATGGCTTCAAGAGCAATCCACCTAGAGATCGCTAATTCACTCGACACTGATTCGTTCCTGAACGCACTCAGACGATTCACCAGCCGACGTGGACCCGTCCGTCAACTACGAAGCGATCAAGGAACTAATTTCGTGGGAGCCCGACGAGAACTTCTGGAAGCACTAAACGAAATGGATCAGGAAAAAATCAAGTCAAGCCTCTTGAAAGAACAATGCGACTGGATCACCTTCAAGATGAATGTACCGTCGGCAAGCCACATGGGCGGCGTATGGGAACGCCAGATACGAACGGTACGGAACGTGCTCTCATCCCTTTTACAACACAACTCTGAGCAACTTGATGATGAATCCCTCAGGACATTAATGTGTGAGGCAGAGGCAATAGTCAACAGTCGCCCTCTCACAGTCAATCAGCTCACTGATCCAGATTCCCCTGAACCACTGACCCCAAGTCATCTCTTAACAATGAAGTCTAAAGTCCTACTATCACCGCCTGGAAAGTTCGAGCCGGCCGATATGTACGCTCGCAAGCGTTGGAGACGCGTACAGCATCTCGCCAATGAGTTTTGGACGCGCTGGCGAAAAGAATACTTACTCAGCCTTCAGGAACGTCAGAAGTGGACCAGACCCCGTCGAAACTCAAGCGTCGGTGACGTGGTGATGGTGAAAGATTCCAACCTCTCACGTAACGCATGGCAACTTGCTCGTGTCGCTACTGTCTACCCAAGTAAAGATGGTCAAGTCCGCAAGGTTCAAGTAGCCCTCGCAGATAGCTGCCTGGACAAGAATGGAAGGAGATCTGGACCTTTGCGTTACCTAGAGCGACCAGTACAGAAGTTAGTACTTCTAATGGCAGTGGAAGAGTGAGTACCGGGGAGATCCCTACCGAAGAGCCACAAGGTTACTTATAAACGAACACTTTGATTTTGAACTTTGATTATAGTTTTTAGTTATATGAACTTTGATTAGTGAAATATAAATATTTCAGGGGAGCCATGTAAATGACATCCCAACAAGCTTTATTGATTTAGTGATATGATCTCTCTCGCCTTAAGCTTTTCTGATTCGCTAGTTTCATTTCCTTAGACAACGCCTATTTTTACATAGAAAACGCATGGTCTCTTAAGTTTAGTTTTAGTTGGATTTCGTTGTCTTCATGTGTACATCGTTATAGTCTATTTGGATAGTTCATTTTTTGGTACTTAGAGGCAAGCGGGAACCGATATGTAAGTACATTTTATCCTCTGTAGTTTTGTCTATCTGGCGACTCATAAAGTATATTCCTGCAAGAAGTTGTTGTAATACTCAGTATCTCGTACCATTACGTGACTACGCCTTTTTGAGTTTCAAGTAGGTTTTTACTTTTTAGTTCGGCGTGGGAATCTCATTTCTTTTAGTTTATTTAGTTGTCGTGCCTTTGCAGGCGTAGTCCGTTCTCAGATTTATTTTGTTAGTTTCTTAGTATCATATTATTCATATCATATATTATGTTTTTGGGAAGGTTTCTTTACTCCTGCGTACCCAAATTTAGTTGATTTTGTTCCTTTCATGAAGTATATTTGGTCTAATATTCTAGTTGGTAAATTTATTATTCCTGTATTTCAATAAGTATATTTCTTTTGTCTTATTACGCGTTTTGGCAAGGTTTTTATACCGGAACAGCTACGAAAATGAAAATATGATTGGAATGTTAGCGAAATGTTATATTACCTGTTAGCCAAACTATAATAATTGTAAATGTACCTTAATTGTACTTCTGGTACATTATTTTCTATATGTATGTGGTAATGTCTGCGTTTATGACGCACTACCCCGCTATGCTAACATGAACTCGTCCATTTTTCTCCTCAGCGCTGACCTCCGCCCAGGATAAGGATACCTTTCGTGATCGTGTTCATTGCGTTAAATAACACTTGTAAGAATATTGTTAAAAAATAATTAACAAAAACCAATAAGTAAGATAACTTAATTTTATATATATATAAATAAAAACGTGTTGCAACTGTCAAGTCTTCTTGACTTAAATTTCTCTTTTCTCGCAAATTTCGATACATCAAATTTCATCGACGAATTGAATATTCACAACTACTTTTTCTACAAAACACACGTTTTCCTGTTCATTAAATTCGATTCTTTATAACTTATCAACTTGAAGGTCTGTCCACAATTACTCTTGTGGGATACAGGATTTGCCTATTTTTGGTGCAAATACTCCAGATGCAACCTTAAAAAAGAAGGGAAAGCACAAATTTTGATAATGAGAAGTTGAGCTTGATTTCCTATTTTATGTGGCTCCGATGTGGGAATAGGAAGGAAATAGTAGAGAGAGAGGGCAATTATCGCATTTCAAATAGCCTTGTGGAAAACCCAAACGAAATAAGACCTATTAGATTTATCAATTATCACCCTCAGCTACCCGTGTCTTCGTATTCTTCCCATCTTTTAAAAAGACAGAGCGCCTCAAACGTTCAAAAAAGGCAGTCTCTAAACAAAGAACTAAAAGAACATTTCCACGCAGACGATTGCAACTTGAACACATATTTTTGCGCGGATTTAGGAATCGACGGAAGACAATAAAGAGATTTTAAATAGAAAAGGGCACAACTGGCAACAAATCGATTCGATTCAATGTGCATAGTAGCACGTTTATGTTCAAATAAAACACAGCATATTCTTACTACATACAACTAATATGTTCCTACACATTTCAAACACGTATGCTCAGCGCATTCCGGGCGATGATTGCCTAGCAATACGACAGGGATTGTGACATAACAATGCCCCTATTCCTGAAAACAATGGAAGCGCAGATTAAAGGGGACCATGAAAATAAGAGCTGTAGAACGATGCATGCAAGTAAACCGAGTGCATTCGCTCCGCCGCCTAATTAATGAATCTAGCTATGAATCAATCAAAACTTGATCCATCTACCCAACTCAACTGCTAATNAATTTTGATAATGAGAAGTTGAGCTTGATTTCCTATTTTATGTGGCTCCGATGTGGGAATAGGAAGGAAATAGTAGAGAGAGAGGGCAATTATCGCATTTCAAATAGCCTTGTGGAAAACCCAAACGAAATAAGACCTATTAGATTTATCAATTATCACCCTCAGCTACCCGTGTCTTCGTATTCTTCCCATCTTTTAAAAAGACAGAGCGCCTCAAACGTTCAAAAAAGGCAGTCTCTAAACAAAGAACTAAAAGAACATTTCCACGCAGACGATTGCAACTTGAACACATATTTTTGCGCGGATTTAGGAATCGACGGAAGACAATAAAGAGATTTTAAATAGAAAAGGGCACAACTGGCAACAAATCGATTCGATTCAATGTGCATAGTAGCACGTTTATGTTCAAATAAAACACAGCATATTCTTACTACATACAACTAATATGTTCCTACACATTTCAAACACGTATGCTCAGCGCATTCCGGGCGATGATTGCCTAGCAATACGACAGGGATTGTGACATAACAATGCCCCTATTCCTGAAAACAATGGAAGCGCAGATTAAAGGGGACCATGAAAATAAGAGCTGTAGAACGATGCATGCAAGTAAACCGAGTGCATTCGCTCCGCCGCCTAATTAATGAATCTAGCTATGAATCAATCAAAACTTGATCCATCTACCCAACTCAACTGCTAATTTGCAAAAGGCTTCGAATAAAACATAGTAACCTTTTTTCGTACTAATACACGCACAAAAAATAAGCACAACAGAAAATAAAGCCCCCTTTCCAAGACTGTTAATTGTTAAGTAAAAAATCATAAACATCAAAGCTGCCTATTGCAACAGGGTTTCTCGCATAACGTCTCTTTCACAGAAAAATGGAAGCAAGACACTGATAACAAAATTAGCGCTGCATTGGAATTCAAACGTATAAAAAAGAAAAAAACAAGCGCGAAGGCGACATTTCAGATTTCTGTTCTTGATCCACCAACTTGGGTACACTACACGTACATGCTACATGCTTTCTAAAAACAAAAGCATAGGCAAAACGGACTGTAAACCACGCAAGCCGGATCAGGTGACAGTTTCCGCAATATCTTTGAACTGATATATTCAAACCAGTACTAAATCCCCAAGTTTCATTTCCCTAATAATTCCAGCTAAAATATGAGAATCTCTGCTCTCTCTTTACAAAAGCAACAGAAGCAGGTGCAAGACTCTTGTTCCACCACGGGGGAACAAAATAATCTTAAAATTCTCTAATGCGACCTATTCATCTTCCTTTTTGTAGGGTGATTAAAAACAAAAAGCTTGTTTTCATGAGATCTTAAACTGCTGATCTTTTTTTTTTCATCACCACTTTAACGCGTTATTAAAACAATATTTATAGACTGTCAAAATAGTCATTCCTCGGAGCAGGACGACCTCTCGCTCAAACAAGAGGTCGACTTGTAGGAAGTCTAAATTTTTATCTATCTCCTCAAGTTTTTCAAAACACATGAACACACAGCGACAAATTTCTCTTTTCTTCCATTGCTTGGATATGACTCACTAAAAATTCATCCTCCAGGAAATCCGCCCAGATCTGATAGATGTTAAGCCGTCACTTAGAATAATTGTGATAAATCTTACAACAATATGGACGCGATCCATATTCAACCAAAATTTCTGACCAGTTGGACTGGGAAATGTGGTCCACCTCAAAAGGTGGACCAGTTTTTTCGAAACTTTTCTGGTTGGACCACACCGATCCATTGAGTTTTGGACCGAAATTTCTCTACGTCATAACCAAATTTTCTCTGATGGATAGTTTACCAAATTTTCTTACCTATGGTGCTCCGCTGCCCGCGCGACAGAGCTCTGCTAAAAGATTAACTTTTGAATAGAGGATAAAACCGTTAGCTCTGGTAACCTGGAAAAAGACTTTGGTTACATATTTTTCAAGGCTGAGCGGAGCTTAACATAAATTTATATTGTTTTGTTAGAAAACCTTTTACAACACAACAGTGAAGACAACAGAATGCACTCCCTGCTTGAAGGTGTAGAGCACATCGATAATCCACATGAAGTTCTTGAACATCCTCCATTCTTGCCGTCTGGACAAAGGCAGCTACATCACCCGAGAGTCACCATTTTTGAAACAGGAGGCCAAATATACAAAGCAACTCTTGTCTCTCTCTTGAATGAGGATCCACAATTATCCCATGACAGGTACAAAATTTTGCCGGCTTCTTTAAAACGCTAGAAAGCCTTAGTCACTTCAACTAAATCTAATTTTAACTGCAATTAAGGCATGAATAATAGATATATGATATTAATGTTAAATCTTATTTTTTGACTTAACCTTTTTAGACTGGTGAGAGTTTGCCAACGACAAGAATATCATCGTGGAACAAGCATGATTGCTGGCAGGAGCAGAAGCCCCAATAGGACAGGAGTTGCTTTGTTCGATGATTACGCTGTTGTAGACAGGCATAGCCAGTCTTTCTTCATCGGGAGTCTTTCTCGCATGGTGCACGCAGGCAGTCATGGGAGGCAAGAATATAAGCGCCCTGTGGCCTATGACGATCCAAAGAGGGAATCTATAACCTGCTATTTTCAAGTTTGCCTGTGTCCGAGGATGGACCCCTTTGTGTGCCTGACGAAGAGCTCGCGGAAACAAAAAGTGGTGTAGCAAGAGTTTTTGAGTCCCAACCAAGACGAAGACGTGCTACCACCACTGCATCTGCCCCTCGTACAGAGGGAGGGAGAGCTGTCACACCCACTCACGCTCGATGAAGGAATCGTGAGGCTTCAAGTCCAACCAGAGCAACAAAGCGATGGGGGTCCGCAGAGATCAACTAGAGTAAGAACTGTCCTATTGTATGATCCATAAAGGAGATATGTCACAGATGGTGGATCTTGAAAACTTAGCTAAATTTTTTAAGCTTGTCCATTATATTTACAACCTATCTGAATAATCATCCTTGCTCCTTTGTGTTTTATTATTAGTACTTTTTGCTCGATTTGAAGATACCTTTGTAAATCACTGGAATATTTCATGTGCCGTAAGATGGCTTCGTTGACGTGGTTACGTCAATATATATTGAATGTAGTAATAGCTCTTTCAGTGTTTTTTTATAAAGGTGTGCATATATATTTACTTGCACCTACGTGTACATGAGCGAAGGTACTCATAGTTTGCTCCCAAGTTCAATGTTCAAAAACAACACATTCTAAGTACTTCTGCAAAAAATAATATTTCCATACTTTTGATATAGAAATAAATGGATGAAGTAAAATTTACTATTGAATTTGCATTACCAGAGCATACGTAAAGAGTTCGATCGATTTTTACTCGGAAGAAATTACGAACCAAGATTTCAATTCACAAATGCCTGATTTAGCTACTCAATTAAACTTCAGTAGCACAAAGGGCTAGGCATGTTTGAATGGTTTCAGTAAATCTGTACTTACTAATTGATCAACTGCTGTATTATAGGACACCAATCGCTAAGTGCATGTTTTCTTAGCTGCTCAGTTCACACTTTAGTTGCAAAATGACTGGAACTTGGGATGTAGCTGATAGTTTCAGTAAAAAGTGTTTATTTGTGTAAATAGTTATTAAGTAAATAATTTGATTATATTGTAACATAATCAGATCGTGTATTTTCTATTATATACCCGGAATATACACAACATTTAAGCTATTCAGTCCAGAATTAAATTGCTGGAATTTTGGACATGTTTCATAGTTCAAGTAAATAATGATGATTTATGTAAATATTCATATGAGCGACTGCTGGATTATTACACAGAGATTAATTCATATTCCTTTTTTTTTCTTTTATTCGAAGGTTACAGTTTCTAAAAGACATTCGAGTTTTGTTCCTATGGATAGCACATTAGTCACCATAAGGTAAGGATGTATTCTGTAGTTATGACGGCACATTATGTAACCCGCGTTGTGGAATTCTGAGCTCGAAACTTTGCAGTCTCATAACCTACCTAATAAAAGCAGATAAACATTGCCTTTAACATTGGTCTGAACTAGGGAAATAATTATAAGGCAGGTCTGAAACAGGGTATTGATTTAAGGGTCAGGTCATAAATAGGGTATCAAATTTTTGGTTAACTCATAAATAGGGTAGGGAAAATCGCAGATTTTGGTCATAAATAGGGTAAGGGTTTTGGGAAGCGGGCCGCACACCCCTACCCAATTTCTCTGCGAGTCCCCCCCCCCCCCCGGGTATATGACGCATCAGCGAGAGCATATTCTGGTGCCCCATCCTTGAATGAGTGCTTAAACCCCGGACCGCCCCTTCAAAACAAGTTGTGGAGTGTCTTAGTTTGTGCTCGTTTTCACCCGGGCCGCAGTGGTACCCCTGTCAAGAAACACTGCCAAAAGCTAAAGCGACACAAGATGTCTTTGCTGTAGCAGTAGCAGAAACAGACAAGCTAGACATAGTCCTCGAAAAATTCAGTCACTGGAAAGTGATGAGAATCTGTGCGTGGATAATGCAATTAATCCGCAACGCTCGTTCCGCGAAAATGAGAAGACTGACCGGGCCACTGACATCGTCTTACACCTGGTGGAAATGTTTCTTGTCCTTCCAATATCTGCCTCTGCCGCACAGTGCAAGCGAGCTGCGTCTGCACAGAACTAAATCAAGGGCAGCACTAGGGCAAACCACAGCATATCAGTATTGGAGGACCTGATTCGTCTGTCTTCTGACAGCTCTCCTGTTTCTGAGTTCAACCCAATCCCTGCAGTCACTTGGTGGTTTTCAAGGGATAAGTCCAAAGCAGAACCACCAAGAAGAGCTTATTTGTTAAACACTGATTGCTCAATTTATGTATAACTGCTTATTATACTCGTCTTTAAAAGTAGAATCCCAGTGGAAAATATAACTTTGAGAACCATTTATAGAAGGAACATTAATAACAAATTTTAAGAACACTTGACTTTTTTCAAGTTACGGGTTGTAGAAGGACCTGAAACCTTTGTTTTTGCTGTTCACAGTGTAGTTGGTTGAAAAAAGTTGTTCAAGATCTTTATGAGGAGCCTGTTCACCAATCCCGGATTTCTAGAATTCATGGTAAACATGACATCTCTATCTCAGATTTAAGTTTCTCACACGCTAGAAAATCACTTCGGACTTTCTTGTTGATATTTCACGTTTTGCCTGTAGATATAAAAAATGCTTCTTGCAGTAATGCATGTTGCCATTGCCTCCTGTCATACTTGACCCATGCCTCCAGCGGTCACCCTGAGAACAGACATGGAGGCTTTTTGGTGGCACGCGTTCGTTCCAAAGAATGCACCTTCAGCAGAAAACAGAATCTAAGGGAGAAATTGGATTAAAAGCCAAAAATCCTGAAGAACCTTCAAAAGTGAAAAGTTTGGTAAATTTACGTACTTCTTGCTTGATGTAATGAAGGTTTGTCAGCAAGGGTTTCCAAGGAGATGATTCTGTATAGCAGATGTTCTAGTGAACCTAGAAGGAGAAATTTCAAAGCTGGAGGCAAGGAGATGTGAGAGGTGCAAGGTTTACAGACACACAGATAAGGTTGAAAGAAGAAACTGAAGTACTTTAGTGTGGCACAGAAAAGAACCAGGAATTAACATTAACATGAACAGGTACTGTTTTAGAAAAAGGGTTTGCTTCATTCGTCATTAAAATGATGACCTACAAGAATCAGAGATTTTTAAGTCTGAACAAAGAGCCCTATAGCTTCTTCACGATCTTTGATCCCAAGGGAATGCCGCAAGACTGAGGTTGACCTAGCTACCTATGAAAATGACAAACTGTGTTCTCTGGTCAACTTCTTTGCGCATTTTCTACCCAACAGGAGAGAAGAAAAGAATAATTGAGCAGTGGCTAATTTTGCATGCAAGACTTGCCAAGCAGAGGACACTTTAAGACAATAGATGTCTTTTCTAATCGGTTGCTGTCTCCTCAAGAGGATGTTAAAGACTGCCTCATACTGATTCATCTTCTGGTCACTCTTTCACCCAGGACTGCTAAGTGCAAACGCAGGTTTTCAACAATGAATCAGTCGAAAAATTTAGCACGTGCACAAACAAATCAAGATACCTTGACAACCCTAATGAGAGTGAGATCTTCTGACTGCAACCTTGGAAACTTCTATTCGGCTCCTACCATTGAACATTGGATGAACAAAGTGACAACAAAGAGGCATATCAAGCTCTAATTTGCTCTGACGGCTAAAGCATACGTGACATGTGGCTCTGACCTTGAAGTCTTAGTGTGACACTAGAATATTGGATTATTCAAATTAATGGTCACTAAAACCTGAAATTAGCATGGAAACATGAAGCAAACTTGTATTGTTGAGTTAAGCCAGTTCGTTTTCTTAAGTTTTCCGTACCGCATTTGGTAAAACATTCCTATAATGGACAAGCATTCAGTTGTGTTATGTTTATATCTTCAAAGATAATGGAGAATATAAAAAGGTAAACACCTGAACTTCCAGAGCTATATCAGTTGGCTGGCTTCATGCTACCGCACGGCTACAACATGCTCTTGTGAGCATTTTCTGCTTATGATGACATTCTTCCTGATGAGAGGCGATCTCTCAATCCAAGCACAATCAAGGCATTCCACTCCAAGTTCAGACTTTAGCTGAGCAAGAAAAGAATCCACCAGCAGTAGCACTAATGGTACCTGTTTTGGAAAAGCAAGTCCAACATAACACCTCAAAGCAAGCTAACAGCATCACCCTCAAAGACATGAGCATACAGATTAGTGGACCATGTCTCCTTATATTCTGTTCAACAGTCAGCTTCACCTGTATAGCATGCACTTGATTCACAATATTGCCCCTGTACATTCCATAGTCATTTGATGATTTGATCACTTAACAAAACCATGTCAGAACCTTTCACCAACATCAACAATATTCAAAACACCTTTCATTCCACCCAAAACATTGTGTATGCTTTTAAATTTTAATTTACTTGATGTATGACAGCATCACTACATTTATCGCAGACAATCTGATAAAACGCCNACCGTCAGCTTCTCTTTTATAGCATACACTTGATTCACAATATTTCCCCTGTACATTCCATAGTAATTTGATGATTTGATCACTTAACAAAACCATGTCAGAACCTTTCACCAACATCAACAATATTCAAAACACCTTTCATTCCACCCAAAACATTGTGTATGCTTTTAAATTTTAATTTACTTGATGTATGACAGCATCACTACATTTATCGCAGACAATCTGATAAAACGCCAGCACAGAAAACTCCATGAATATGTTTAAAAGCTAAACAGCAACTGAGCTGTTACCTTGTATTAAACTTCTTGTTCAATGATTTGACTGTATGATTTCAACTATTCAAGTCTGAATTACACGTATAGCATTTTATAGGACAGGTCTCAGGTCAAAGGGTGTTTTTCCTCAGAATACAGTTTCAGCTTGTCTAAACAACGTGTAATATTTCTTTTTTTGATTTGAAGTTTTTTCCAAGCATTTTTTGCTTAAGAAAAGGTGAGATTAACATTACACCAAAAAAAGCTCCGTTTTGTGTCACACAAAGTTGTGATGTCACAGATGTATTTATGTGAAGTATATGAAATAATTCATTTTTGAACAGCAGTTAAAGATGAAAGTGAAGAATGATCATCGCAGTAAACTTTCCAATTTAAGCAATTGGAA